CGGCGGCTTTGCCTCCCCCCGTGGCCACGAACACCACGGTGCGCGCCGCATTCAGCACCGGGAGGGTCAACGTGATCCGCTCCGGCGGCGGCTTGGGGGAATCGGTGATAGCAGCAACGATTTTCTCCTCCTCCTGGCAGAGAACAAAACAACAAAAAAGGCATTAAATGGCGGTTAAGGATCAGAACAAAGCACGGGGGGGAGTGGGAGCTGCCTGGCTCCAGCTACACCAACACCAAACGGGGAGGGACGGCTGCTGAGGGCGAGCAAAGCCCCACCTCGATTTATTTATTCCTTTTTACCTCCACTCCAAAATTAAAAGGAATTTAGAAGGGCACTGAGGGCTAATCAGGTTCAGGATGTTCTTTTTACTCTCCCAATGTTATTTTTTTTTAATTTCACATTTGATATCTTTAAATGCAACACCCCTGTGATGCTTCACACACAGCAGCCACCCGCTAGGTACCAGGGCAGCGGCACCCACGTAAAACCTGTCAGATTTTGACCCCACAAAGGAAGAAAACGGCCCCGGAGCCTGATCCTGGCGAGCTCACCTTCAGCAGGGGGTGGTCGGGGAAAAGGGAGCAGGTGTGGCCGTCCGGCCCCACTCCCAGGATGAGCAAGTCGAAGACGGGCACGCTGGCACCCCGAAAAGCCTGCAAAAAAGGCAGAGTTAGGTCACACGTGGAGCGTTGTGCCCAGTTCCGGGCTCCCCAGTACCAGAGGGACACGGAGCTACTGGTGCGAGCCCAGAGCAGGGCTGTGAAGGTGGTGGGAGGACTGGACAGGCTGAGAGCTGGAACTGGTTAGACTGGGAAAGAGGAGAATGAGGGGAGAGCTCGTGGATGGTTTTGGCTCAACGTGAGGGGACAATTCTGTGCCGGGGGGGTGACGGAGCACGGGGACGGGCTGCCCGGGGGGGCTGTGGGGTCTCCTCCTCCAGATACCTGCCCGGATCCCACAAACCGTGCTCGGGGTAACCCCCCAGTAACCCCCCAACTTAACCTGGGACCCCCACTCCTCACCCCGGTAACCCCCCCCTCAACCTGGGACCCCCCCCCTCAACCTGGGACCCCCCTTCTCCCCCCGGTATCTCCCACCAGCCCCCCCGGGAGCCCCTTCACCCCAATAACCCCCAAACACCCCGGTAACCCCCCCCAAACACCCCAGTAACCCTCCATACACCCCGGTACCCCCCCAAACCCCCGGTACCCCCCCCAAACCCCCGGTACCCCCCAAACACCCCGGTAACCCCCCCCTCACCCCCATAACCCGCCCCCCCGGTACCTCTCGCAGCCTGGCGCATAATCAGCGGCAGCATCGTGCGGGGACAGCCCGGGGGTGACGCTGAGCACCCGGGGCTTGGGCCCGGGGAGCCGGGGCAGCAGCTGGGCCTGCGGACACGGGCGGGGGAGGCGCTCAGGGGAGGCCGGGACCGGCGGCGGCCGCCGCCCGCGGGTCAAGGCCCCGCTCACCTCGTAGGCCCCGGAGGTGCTCTCGGGGTGCTCGGGAGGCACCAGGCGCTCGTCGCAGAACGCCACCAGCCAGGGCTCGTCGCCGCCGCCGCCGCCACCGGGGAGGGCGGAGGGAAGATCCCGGGCCAGGAGAGCCACCAGGCTGCCCCCAGAGAGGCCCAGCGAGAAGCGGCCGCCGCTGCCGGCCGCCCGCTGCGCCACCAACTGCGCCAGGGCCGGGCCCAGCTCCTGAGGGGACGGGAACACCGAGACCCGGCGCGACATGGCGGCGGCGGAAGCGGAGAGAGGAGGGCCGGAAACGGAGAGCCGGAGGCCGGAAGCGGGGAGCCGGAGGCCGGAAGAGAAGCGCAGCCGAACCCGGAAGCTCCGCGCTGCCGCGTTGCCTAGCAACCCGCGGCCTAGGCCCCGAGCCAGGCCTCGGCTCCGCGTCTCCGAGCCCGCGGCCTCCCCCGCTCGGCCCCGCCGCTGGGGCGGTGAATCCTGGAGTTGTTAGGGGTGGGAGAGGCCTCCAGGATCATCTGGTCCAACCGTCCCCTTTCCACCAATGTCACCACTAAACCATGTCCCCAAGCACCATGTCTGACCTTCCCTTGAACACCCCCAGGGACGGTGACTCCAGCACCTCCCTGGGCAACCCGTCCCGACGCCTGAGTGCTCTTTCTGAGAAGAAATTCCTCAAAAATTCCAACCTGAACTTCCCCTGGAGCAACTTGGGACCATTCCCTCCTCACTAGTTACCTGTGAGGAGAGGCCGATCCCAGCTCCCCCCCCCCCCCCCCCCCTTCCTTTCAGGGAGCTGCAGAGAGCAATGAGGTCTCCCCTGAGCCTCCTCCAGACCAAACACCCCCAGTTCCCTCAGCTGCTTCTCACAGGACTTCTGTCCCAGGCCCTTCCCCAGCCTTGTAGCCCTTCTCTGGACACGTTCCAGCACCTCGATGTCCCTCTGGTACTGAGGGGCCCAAAGCTGAACCCAGCACTCAATGTGCGGCCTCACCAGAGCTGAGTACAGGGGGACATCACCCCCCCTGCTTCTGGTGGCCACACTATTCCTGACACAAGCCAGGATGCCATTAGCCTTCTGGGCCACCCAGGCACACTGCTGGCTCCTCTTCAGGCGAGCATCAATCAGCACCCCCAGATCTTTTTCCTCTGCACAGCTTTTGAGCCGCTCTCCTCCTTCCTGACACAGTGAAAACTCAATAACCAAAGATTTAAGCAGGTATTCTTCATTACGGCACCGGGTGTGCGGGGGATCGCTCCACCTAACACCCACACCAAGGGTTACTGCCACGTTGCTTATATTAGTGGGCTATATACATATTCATCTCACCCCCTCAACCCCATAAGTCTCTTGCATATTCATCAGGTCTCCAAAGAATCATTTACGTAGGTTCCCACCCATATTCACATGCGCTCTAGGGTCCTCGGGTGGTCGTCCAGCGTACTCTGGTGGTCTTGATGAAGGCCAGAAGTCTTCCTCACTGCTAAACTTCTGACCCTTCCTTTCTTTTTTACAGACTTCAGCAGTCCAAGTCAGTTCTTGCTGTTTCTATTACCTGTGTGTATGAAGTCTTTTCTTCCCTTATCTTTTAGGGTCGTCCCCGGCTCATTCTCCCTGCCTCAGTCCTGTCCTTGTGGTTGATACACAACATACATCCAGTGTATTTGCAGCTAAAACCTGCAAAATCAACGTGCTTTCCCTTGATCCCTGTCTCATCCCCCTTTCCCTGCCACCATCCCGCTGGGCTCAGGGCTCGCCGGGCCCCCCTGCCCTCCCCAAGGAACACGCACAGCAGCGTTGCCGTTAACATTTCCTTCGAGTTCACGTTAGCACGGTACAGCACCGCCAGGCTCCCTCCTCTCCCCCCAGCCCATCACGACCCCCGGTCCCGGTGCTCATCCCACCCTGCTCTGAGTCCAGAGGCTAGCCTCTAAGCACTAATGTCCATAACTCCCTGGCCCTAAGGGCTTGGCACACGTGAATGTGAGATTTCCAGGTGTAGTTAAGGTAAAACATCACCTAACACAATTAAAGACTGCCCGACCCGCACTGTTAAAAGTTAACTTGGTAAGTCAAGTTCGGAGATGAAGCAAAAAGGAACCCACGCGGGGCACGAGCATCTCCGCTTATCCTCAGGATACGAATAAATATAAACCATAAAACTTCTTCCACCTAAGTGGTTAGTGGTTACAAAAATACTCTCTCTAGGTGTGTAACAGCAGATTAATGGGGTGTCAGTGCTCTCTAAAGGCGCAGGTCACAGGTTAATGTGCTTTAGGCGAGGGCAACACCCCACGAGATGTTTCCCCGGTGGTGATTCACTGTAGGAGGATCTCACGTTGCATATTAAGCAGGAATCTGCCGCTTCCCACAGGCATCATCCCTCCAGTTAGTCACAGTTTCCTCTGAAAGGCTCGAGATCCAGACTAGATCATAAAGCGGCTTTTCCAGAACAAATCCTTTCATAAAGGCATTCATCCAGAGGAACGTATTTCCCCAGCTTTAGATCCAGAAAATACAACCGGTCCGACGTTTGGTGGGGGTCAAATCCTTCCCTCTGCAAGCGGGTTTTCTGAATTTTAAAAGTACCTTCAAAGGAGGGAAAAATAATACTTAAAACATGTTGTTTTAAATCCAAAACAACAAAACATGTTGTTTTAAAATCCAAAAGGCTGGGCAAGCATCAGTGAGGGAGAAACATCACAGATGGCATTTCATTTTTAGTTCAGTTTCGCTCAAGAATTATCTGTCTGAAGCAACTATACTGATCGTTACCCAGAAAGCTTGTGCAATCTTTGCTTCTCTGTACACATAAGGTGGCAGAAGGGCTGTCTGGATTTCCAGGAAATTGAAAACATCAAAGGCAGCCAAATCATTACTTGTGTTAACAGCTGTTGGTCGTACTGTGAGGAGCGTGTGGGCATGGGGTGAGCAGATTAAAGCCAGGTGACAGCCCAGGAATGGCAGCAGAGGGTGCACAGAGGAGTTTAGAGGGGTCAAGAGCTTCTGTGCACATTTCTTCTGCGGCGCTGCACACACGCAAGGCTCCTTCACAGGCATTCCCAAGAGCCTCACTGCTGGGCAAAATGCTCCAGCTTTCTTGGCCTGGAACTAGCTCGTTTCTTGTTTAATGCTCAAAAGCAGTTTTTATTAATGGCATTTATGTGCCTGGCGTACTACAAGTGGGGACTTTATTACGCAACCTCTGAAGAAGAGGGACAGCAGCCAACTGACTCCAGTTACAGCACTAAGGGCAGCTTTCTCAGCTTTCACATCACCCCGAGGTGGCAACACCCAGTTCCTTCTGAAATCCGAACCCAGAGAGCAGCAGGCACACGAATCCCCCATACCTGTGGTGTCGACCTGGGGTAAGAGACGCAGAAAGATGGGCCGGGCGTAAGGAGGCAGCACCTTCTGTAGCTCCTGGTACAGAACGTTGGGGTTCACCTTGGTTTTAGGGTCTGCGATTGCTGCCATTCCAGCTTTTCCCTCCACCCCTGAAATAAGAGAGCACAGCTCGGGTACAGACACCAGGACACGAAGAAGCAGCAGAAGTTAAGCATGAAACTTAAGGGACTCAAGGACAGGTATTTCCCCCTTGCCTCTTTCCATGCAACACACTGAGGAAAACCCAATTTAATACCAAATCCACTGACAAAGCATTTTCATCTTTTTCGTCATATTTCTCTCACATATGCTGTGATAAAAATTCAGGGGACCAAACTGCCACAGTGGGCACCCTTCTGGCCAATGCTTGCCCAGAACAAATTTCTCTTCCCAAAGAGACTTCACCTCTCCCTCCTCCTACCTTTGTCCAGACCCTTTATTTATTCCCACACTGCTCAAGAGCTCCTTTTTAATCCTTTTTTTTTTTATTATTTTTTTTTCCTAGTTGATTTCCCTGTGCTGGAGACCCAAGCTTCACAAATGCAAACTTTCATGAGCACAGCCAGGAGGAATCCTTCACCGCCGGAGCAGCAGCCTCCAAGGGATGTCCACCCCATCCCCTTCTTTGTGTCCTCCCCACCCCATTCTCGATTCCTCTTTCCTGCGTAACTTAAAGCCTCCACATACAGAGAATGGTCTTTTCACACTTTGCTTCTGCAAAGTTCACATCAAAATAACCTTCTCTTTCCAAGAAATAAAGATTCTACCCCTGCAGCTCAGCTTATTTCTACTGCTCAGAATAAATGCAACTCTGTCAAACTCCACTGTCAGCCTCCATCACATCTTCTCATTTTCAGGTGCCCGGTTTCAATAAAAGTGACCCATTTCTTCCTGTTCTGCAGTGTGACACAGATCTGCTACGTTTGCCTTTTCTCCCAAAGGCTTTAGAGTTCTGGCTTGAGATTTTACCTGGCACTTCCACTCCATACACTGCGACGTCTGTCTGGTTGAGGATGTGACTCAACATCCCTTCCACTTCTGTGGTGGAAACGTTCTCTCCTCGCCAGCGGAAGGTGTCACCGCTGCGATCTTTGAAGTACATGTAGCCGAGCTCATCCATCACCAGCACATCTCCTAGGAGGGAGAGAAGACACCGAGCCATGTCACGACGCAGTTCAGCAGCACTCGAGCCTGCCTCATCGCCCTCTCAGCTCTGGGTCAGACGTTGCATCGCCTTCTTCCCACAGAAGCACAGAACCAGGTCGGTGCCTTTCCACCACCATGCTCTGCACCTCCAAAATACGGGAGAGAAGGAAGCTGCAGCTGTAGAAAAAGGGCAGGGAAAAATCTCTCCCTCCTTGAAGCGCAGACATTTCTCCTTAAACCCAGAGCAGCTCAAAGGCTGGGAGCTGCAGAACACTAACACATCTGTTCCTCTGAGAAGAGAGCCTCAGATTTAGGTCTTTTTGGACCGTCTTGGCACAACGTAGGGTACCTGTAAGGTATGCCTGGTCCCCCTTCTGCAGCACGTTGTAAGCAATCTTCTTGTGGGTGGCACTCTCGTTGACGTAGCCGTCGAACCGGCGCAGGGGATCCTGTTGATTTATCTGCCCCACGAGCAAGCCTGGCTCTCCTGCAGACAACAGGGTCAAACAGCACAAGATGACACCAGCTTGGGATGTATTCCACAAGGAGTTAAGCTCCGTGCGTGCCAGTGAGTGGCTGCTTTGTCTCAAAGATGTTCAGTAACCAAACTGACCCATCTTTGGAGGAAATACCTAGAAGTGAACCCATATATGACACCAGAAGCCCCTTAAACCTATCAGAGATTATTGTTTATCCTTTTTTTTTTTAGAACAAAGAGCTGCGATTGATTTGTTCAGGTTAACACTCACCTGGGCGACAGGGGATGCACAGCCCCCTGGAATCACGGATCAGCTCCATCGTGTCCTCGTTCACCTTCACCAAACGAATGGGATAAACATTGGG